TGGCCGTGCTGTCGTCGCGGCGGACGGGTCGCTGTGCGGGGGGAGCGGATCCGCCTGCTGCGCTGGGGACGAGCTGAGAGTTTGCTGGGCCGGTGTAAACCGCTGCCACGGCTGGGGCTGCGCGGCCTTGTGCTGAGGGGACCTTGGCGTGGGGCGGGCTCAGAGACCCCCATGTCCCTCCTTCCTTGCCTCTTGCTCGCTCCAGCTGCCCTGGTCCCTAGTATTTCTCCAGTGAACCTTCCCCAGACTGTCCCTGCCGTGTTTGTGCCCAGGACTGCTACCTGTGCTCGTCCTCTGCAGGCCCCGCGGAGCTGCTGGAGGCCTGGCTCTCGCAGTTCAGCCTGGAGGAGAAGAAAGGGGAGATCGCGGAGCTGCTGGCGACCAGCCCGTCCATCCGGGCTCTCTACACCAAAATGGTGAGGCCCTGCCTGGCTCCTGGTGTGGGAAGGTCTGACCTGGGATGTGGCGTGGGGAACCCCGAGCTGCTTGGGCCCTCGGTGGTAGAAAGGTCTGTTGCACCGGGGTATTGGGAGCGTACTGTACTCTTCCTCCCCGCTCGTTTGTCGCGGGCCTGGAGCAGGAGCTCATCTGCAGCTGCCCCACGTGTGTCTGCGCCTCCGCCAGCGCCTACCAAGGCCTGGTCCCAGGCCTGAGTGCCTGAGAGACAGCCGCAAGGTGCAGGAGGAGCACGGTCACTGCCTCGGTCCCCGTTCCTCCCTCTAAGTGTCTCCTGTTTCCCAGGTCCCGGTGGCTGTTTCCCATTCGGAATTCTGGCAGCGCTACTTCTACAAAGTGCATCGCCTGGAGCAGGTAGGTGGGAGGTGGGTGTGCCCCCCCGGGGTGGGCACTCCAGCCAAGGGCCCTGCAGTCGTACACCAAAGGGGCAGAAGGTAGTTCTCTTGGAAAAGCCAGGATCTGGGCTGCCTTCCCCGTGTCCGTGTCGGCACTGGCCCTGAAATACCCGGAGGAGGAAAGGACGGGGGTCGTGATTTGCTGCTGACGCTGAATTCCCGGCAGGAGGAGGCCCGGAGGGAGGCTCTGAAGCAGCGAGCAGAGCAGAGCATTCACCACGAGGAGCCAGGCTGGGAGGAGGAGGAAGGTGGGTCGGATGGTTGGGGGTCTGCGGGAGGGCTCGCGCAGACCTCGGCACATCTCAGTTCGGGGGGCGGTGGCTCCTCCTCACCCCCCCAGATCCAGCGCCCAGCCCTGCTGCGCTGCCGGCTGCTGCGGTGCTTGCTGAAACGCCTCTCTCCTGCCTTCCTACAGAGGAGTTCTTGGGGATGTCACCCCTGCCTTGTGCAAGCGTGAAATTTCCAGAAACAGCAGAGAAAGCCCTGGCAGGAAGCCACCCCCCTGCTCACAAGGGACCCTCGGAGGAGCGCGGGGCCGTGCTCCCCCCGGGGCCGGCCCCAGCAGAGGGGAGCCCCTCGGAGAGCAGCGAGAGCGTCTCCCTCGTGACTCAGATTGCAAACCCTGCCTCTGTGCCTGCTGCGCAG